GAGTACGGCATGCTCTTTCTATTTATCAATCAGGCCTTGTTTCGGCGTCGTCGATTAACTTGCTTTGTGAAAACATATGGCCTTATTTTCTTGTGCTTAAGATTAGATGCTCATGTTATTTTAATCGACTGCATTTTGTCTATGCATTGTCAGCGTGTATTGGCAGGGATGCGGTTAATGCAGCACTCCCAAGTCGAATTTGTGGGATCACAGCGGTTGATAATGAAGTTGTGGTGAATTGACTAAAAATGGAAATAAGAAGTAAAGGAAACCATTGATGAAGTTCTAAACTAGAAGTCCCTTCGGAATAAGGAAGGGTCTTAAACTAGAAGTCCCCTCGGAATAAGGAAGGGGTGGGCAGACGAGTTGTACGAACTTGCCTGCTCCACGGCTCAACTAACCCGCGCGTATTTGAATTAGCCGCTACGCCGTAATCCACGTTGCGTGTCATGGGGTGTGCGCGACGTAACTCGTCCAAATGCTAAGATTAGTCGCCAAATGCTGACTTTGTAAGACCCTAGCGCCATTGTCGCGTCGAGCCGCGACAAGCGGCACATCTGTGTTACTCGTGGGCTAATCTATCCCATCCTGAATAGATTCTTCAACACGACTTCTGTTTGGAGTAAATGTTTGAATAAGCGCTACATTAGAAAAAAGTGGAGGAAATATGGTTCCATATTTGCCCCATTGTTGCGAGTGAACTGTTAGGAATTGTGCCAAAATCACATCGAGCATTTCACAACGAGGGGCCATTTCTATTTCTTTGCATACCTGCCAATTTCATGAGTTCATCGCCAGGGGTGTTCTTGTCATCGTAGAATTGCTCAGACATTTAACCCTCGCCGGCTTTAGCTGATTCCATGTCCTGAATTCGTTTTTTTCTCTCTTTCTTTTGTCGAAGAAATTTGACAAGTTCTTGCTCTGTGTTATATCTCAAATTTGGAAGTAGTCACGAAAAAACATACAGGGAGTGGCCAAAAAGACATTTTGCCCAGGTCGCACTTCGGCCTTTTTTCTTCGCAGAGATTGCCGTCGTTGACGGAAGTTCCTCAGCAAAATATTCCCTAAATGTCCCTCTATAAGTACACGCAGGCCCTCCTTCACTACCCTCACCGTCTTCAGAATATGACGTCATCTGTCACCGTCGTCGAGCTCAGGGAGGCCTACAGTAACTGCTTCAGCTCTTACATAATTTCTTGGATCGATTCAACGTGGGATAGTTTCCTAGGGACATTAGCTCTAACTATGCAAACCCCCTCGGAACCCGCCCTTCGGAACCCGTCGTAACGGTACACGATCAGTCGAGAACCCCATTGAGCTCGACCAGAGCACCATGTTTCCGGGGCAAACTTTTCTGATGCCGTCCACGTAGATGGCCACTATGAAGATTTTCTTATGAAATGAAATGCGCTCTTCAATTCTAAGTTGGGAGCACACGCTTTGAGCTGAGCAAAGTGTGATTAAATCCATTTGAGTCTGGAGACAAAATGTCTTTTTTTATTGCCCCCCCCCCTCCTGTATAAACAATATTTGGGTGTGTAAATGAAACTTCCGACTTCTTATGCTATCTTTTCTTTTCCTTCTGTTCTCGAGGGTTATTTGACCGAATGTTAGAGACTCATACCATTGAGAATTCCCACATTTTATTTATACCATTGAGAATTCCCACATTTTATGTCTATTGTGTTCGGAAGTTGCTCTAGAATTTACGAAAAAAAGAGGAATTAGATGCTGAAGAATCAGGTAAATACTGTAGGTTCAGTGAGATGAAGAGGGACCTTGACATGCTGGTGCTAAAGCAAACAAGAAGGGAAAGTGTTGTGGGACATGTGCGCTACAAATTGCTACATAAACTATAAAGTGCGGAACGGACGGCAATTTCCGGTTAATTGATGTCAAGAATTTATCGATGACTTGTTCGATTGTAATTGAGTGTTACGTGACTTCTTTATGGCTCCTATAAAATTTTACGACTTGTGCCCTGTTTCAGATGAAGATGAGGATGCACACATTGGCACTGGAGAGTCCCGTGTCGCAGTATTACAAAAAACGCATAAGGAATTGATCCGAAAATTGGATGACTGCAAACAGCGGCTCGAATATTAGGTTGGTTGTTAGTCTAAATTAATGATTTTCCGTAGCATAGCTGTATTACTCGTTTTTGCGTAACTTGCCTTACCTTGGGAAGTCCTGTTAATTTCGTGTGCTACAATAGCGTTCCATTCAGTATATACAGTAGCGGTCAAAAGTGTTCGCCGAAAAGGTTTCTCGTGCGCTATTTTCGCTATCTTGTAGAATTTGCGTGAAATAGTGATATGCTATGTATTTTGGTATTTTCTAATTCTCGAAACTTGATGGCCCAAGATATTGAAAAGAAAAAATTGCAGTAAATCGTAAAGCTATTTTCGGAAGAAAAAATGGTACTGCGCGAAAAGCCAGTTCGGCGAACACTTTTGACCGCTACTGTACATACAAGCTGCCTGAATGTCCATTGTGTTGCAAGCAGATGTGGGGCGCTGTTTTCACGTCAATTCCATCTCTCCCGCGGTCCAACCGTATTTTCGCTTCTAAGCAAGATCATCCGTTCTCCTACGAACCCTTTTGAAGGGGGGCTTTCATGAGAAAATCAGCCGAATGGCGTTGCTTTGTCTAGAGCGGGAAAGTCTTGTCTCTTTATCATGCGTTTTTCATTGAATGGGTGACCTTCCAAACGAGTTTCATTACCGGCTTGTTGTACTTTTGACGGCTGGGTCGTTATGGCTAGGCGTTTTGCTGAGTCACTAACAGCCAGCATTCCGTTTGCTTTTTTGCTCGACTCCGGTCAATTGTGTATTAAATGTTTAACACTTTGCGGGAGACTGTAAGTGAAAGTGCGCCCAATACGAGTGGATGTACTTTTCCAGTAGAGTTGCTCATCATCTACAAATCCGTAAATGAAGAGTGTACGTCTAAGAATAGAGCAACTATTGATGGGTAGGATAAATTCTTTCCCAGACTCCATTAAAAGTGGTGAAGAGAAAATGAGTACAATAGGTATCATTTTCTACAATTCTGCAAGTTTTGGGGATGTAAAAGTCGGGAGACATTTTTGCAGTTAGAATGTAAATGTCCTTCTTTCTTTCTATGCAGAAGTTTGACACTACGAGGAATCGAACCAGGGATCCTTTTTGGTATTCAGAGGGCCGTTCAGGAAAAATTTAACATGGTTCTGTGGTTCACGTGCCCCTATATCATGCAAAAGACCGTTTCTGAAAAAGCTTGACACCCCTTGAAAGACCTTCCTGGTTAGTCCCCTCAGATTGTGGTGGATTCTTCCCTGTGTTCCTTCAGTACTGTCCGAGGAGTGATTGTTCAATTTGCTGGACCTTCGTTTCAATGAACTCATGCATTGGTCCTTCTCCTTTAATATTTTCACCGTCTCCATCTGCTTTTTCATCGTTCTATCCATCAGTGCCGAATTTTAGGCTCCCTCATAGTCTAGGGTGTATTGTAGAACACCCAAAGTCGATTTAGTACTATTTTTCGTGCTCTTACCTTTTTTGATCGGCTCTCAATCTCAACTATTATCTTTGCTTACTCTGGTCCTGCCATCTTTGTTTCTTTGAAAGAAATCGCAGCGGAAGAAGCGCAAAACTGGAACGTATGCTTCCGGACCTTCTCTCGATCAGTTCATGATTAATCACATCTTCACCCGACCTTAACTTTGCGTCGAGCTCGGCTTTTACAATCTATTGGCGACATTACTTGGAATTCGACAGGATCATTATTCATGTAACACTCTCGTGGAGCCGAATAAATGTAATGAACTGGAATTTCTCTACGTCAACTGTTCATATCGCTTTGGTTTTCGATGTTTAGAACTGTGATTTCCAAGCAACAAATACTTTATGCTGTCAGTACGCTTTTTCTGTTGGAATTTACATGTATATTCCCTTCTTTTTCTAACAATTCAAGTTGTTTGACAAATGGCGTTCCTGTTACTCACGTTCTTTTGTTTTGGAAGCGCACGTGCACACTTGGGTATCTTATCTTGTCACCGTTAATTTTTTACATGGTAGCAGAAAACGTTTCTAAATTCTATCTTTTATCTTCTTAAGTCTCCGTGATTGACGAACTAATAAGGTTTATTTGGGGGAGGAAGAGGAAGACAATTGATACTTCTTTCTTTCCGAATTTGGTATACATAAGATTTTCTCTTGATTGTCTATTAAACAATATGAGTATGAACTTTTGAAATTACCATTGTTTAGATAAATCTAAAACATTTGAGAAGGTGATGTTGAAAGGATGGGAACGATCGATCAAAGAATTGCTTCCCGTTACGCTGTAAAAATATGGCTTCTTATAGTTTATTTATTGTCCTTATTTTTCTCGATATGATGACGTGTCAGCGCTTCAATTAAGAACTGATAAGGTTGGTGCAGACGACTGCTACACTGTATCCGATAGCGTTGTAGTTGATTCGACTATTCGATGGTGATTTTTTGTGTTCTCATGGCGGGATGAGTAAATGACACGGGTGACTTCTGGTTTGGTAGAAATGCGGTAGATTTTTTTCAGTATAGTGAACTACCGGGCGGAAGTGGTGTAGTGACAAGTGGCGCGCTTACCACGCGAGCGGTCCGGGATCAAATCCTGGGTCGTGAGTCGCCCGGGCCAACCAAGCCTTCCATCCCTCCGGGGTCGGTTAATTGGTACCAGACTTGTCTGGGAGGATAAAAACACTGACTTGAACATCGGCTGGCCCCCGCAAGTCATTGTATAGGCCACATCGCATTCAAACGCCACTGCGAATGTACAAATGGAAGTAGAATGCGTGCCGCATCCCAAAAAGGGATTGATCAACGGCAAATGCTTTATCCTTTTATTTTATCCTTTAAGAGATAACCCTTTGCTGGTTATTTACATCAAATTATATAGGCCTCGAATTTATCACTCTCAATACTACCAGTAATAGGTTGTGTGATAAGCCCAAAGATGTGCTAATTGCCTTGCTAGTCCAAAGAACAATAAAAGGTTTGAGTCGTTTAGGATGAGCTTTGTTTTCCCACAGACGGATTTCTTGCCTATTGTAGGGCCGCGTGCATGGGATACAAACCGTTTGTCATTTCGCTAAACGGTTTTCGTGGTGCCGAAAAAGTAGTCAAAGTTATAGGTTAGGTGGCAAGCTCCTCCCACTTCGGTGTACCCCCCATCCACCAATAGCAGTTGACCTCGTCCTTTTCGCCGATCTCAATTCATTTTTCTTCTCCCGGTCCATGAATGGAATTATGAATTCCGTAGCAAACTCCACCCTTTCATCACATGCGCCGCCTTTTATCAGCGGGCCTCAGCTGACGTCATGTATGCTGGTAGCACCTCAGACATTGGTTCCCTACACAATTCGCATGCTAGGGTTGTACCTAACTGGTCGGTGCCATTGATCATGATCACGAGCATTCTTGACGTTCGACGCTAATGTGGAAGCGCCAAATTAAAATACAAAATTTTGCCTCCACAGGGAATCGAACCATTGAAATTTTTGCTCCTTTTCGGCGCTAATAAAACTTAAACGAAAACTACACATGGTTTTGTGTTCCATGCATGTGTTTACAATGTGCCAAAAACCATTTAGATAAAGCGCAACTTTCCTAAACGATTCCCTTGTAAGGTTGTGCACGTGCCAGTCTATAGGCGAGAGATTGAGGTTCTGATTGTGGTATCTGTATATCTTTTACAGTAATCTTGGATATTCTACCGAAAGCAGTTGTACTTACAGACAAACATGGAGACGAACTGATTCGATGTGTAAACGAGCCAGAAATCGATAGGAAGACACTATCTGAAAGGGCGGCTCTGCTCAAGGTGTGACACTGTTTCCTTCCGTCGTTTGTATTCATTACCTGCCTTTACTCCTATACTTGCTAAGTAAGTTGGGTACTTGGATGTTGTCTGTGAGTCTTCAAACCCGCGTTTGACTATTCCTTTAGCATGTTTAGTAATGCAGAACAATTATTATACTGCAACAAAATGGCAAGAGGCTGTTATCTGTTATGGAATCTGTAAAGTCAGACTAGGAATGAGTCGAAATTTGCGACATTTTGAAAACATGTTGATGCTATCTATGGACAAAAAGTTAGGTGTGGGAGAAGATAGTGCTCAAAGAAAGGAGTTGTGTTTTGCCATGGTAGTTGGGCTACCTGCTATGCAGTATTAACTAGGTGACGGACTACTTGAACTCAGCCCTTTAAACCGCCTCTGCGCTCTCTCGCGGGTCCCTCTCCTCTCCAAGGCTTAGTCCTAGGGCATTCACCCGTTCTCTAATCGTCTGTGCTCTAGCCATCGCGGCAGGACCATTGAGGAAAAAATCAAGTAGTCCGTAAACCGTATTAACTAGGCGTGCACATCGTTGAAACTGCTATGGTAGGTATTCTTCGTAATGTTACCAAGAAGCGTGCGTCCTTGAATTCTCTGAATACGGTTCGCGTTTTGGTGCGTGGTTTATTACCTTGGTACGACCCTCAGCCAAAGAGCACCACAATGATCTTTCCAGAGCGAATTATTACCTTTCACTGTTTTCGAATCAGAGTCCTCACTCAGGGCTCCCTGTACTGCGCAAGGTAACTTCCTTAGTAATAAGTACAGCAATTTCTGGTGGGCCTTCCGTGGAATCGCGGCTAAGCAGCTTTCTTTATTTCTGTAAGGGGTTAGTCGAGTGACACCATTTCTTTGCCAAGATGAGAGACTCAGTTGTTGCTCGGGCTTTACAAATTATATAAATTAAAGGTCTTTCAGGGCGTTACCGCGCTTCTTTAAAACGGTTTCTTGCATATTGTAGGGGCATATTTATGGGCCACAAACCATGTTTCGTTTCCGCTAAACCGTTTTACTAGTATCAAAATTAGTGAATAATACTC